CTTTGCTTACCATTGCAGAGCCAATTTACCCATATTTACGTAAATATAAGACAACCCCCGCAATGCAGGGCCACGTCCCAGGGATGGCTGTGATGTCTCCCAGTGGCCGTGCAACTCCTGCCTCCCCACTCCCACTCCTTAGGGTACCCTTCCTTTTTCTTGATGGATTTATTATGATGTTAGTGGAGGCTGCCCCAGAGTCCCCAGATAAGCCCTTGTTCACTGGCTGGCTGGTACCTCTTGTTCACTTCGGCTTGACTGGCTCCAGTCTTGCCCCTTGGGCACTATATAATGGCAGTCTGGCCCCATCAGTGCCTCCGAGCACCAGTTGCCTTATGAATTATATCTGTGGCCCTTCTCCTGTAGCCACGCCTATGCCCCACAGAGATTACTCCATATTCATTACTCTGTGGTCTGAACACAGCTTTTGACCTTTAGGACCTGAATCTTTGTCTTGGCCTTAGCAGTCTTGGCCCTCTTATTCTGGCTGCACCCCTCAACCCAGGTCCACTGCTCCTGGCCCCAGTCCCATCTCATACGTGTGTGCTTTGGGCCCCTGTCCGAGCCTCTAGCCCCTGTTTCGTGCTCTGGACCCCCGACTCTGGGCTGGGCTATTTGTTGCCTCAGCCGTCTGGGTCCCTAACCCCTGGCTAGGCTTCCTGTTGCAGAGTGCCCTACCAAGCACTCCTCCGTGGCCTCCACACCTTCCCTGTAGCCACAACACAATCCTCTGGTTTCAAGCTTAAAACATAGCAGAAAAGCAAGCAAACCACTTCACAGAATAAAAGACTTTCTCACCCAGGATTAATGTTGCTCACAAGCCATAACTTCCTTGGAGCCCTCTCAGCCCAGCTTCCTTGGGTGGCTTGAGTTCCTGCCTCTTGGTCTCCAGCATCCCCTCTCTCCTAGGAGCTCCTTCCCCTGTGGTGTGCAGGGCCAGGCTGCCTGCTCAGCCTCAGGTTCTGGGTGTGTCCCCCAAAACCCCACCCCTTCCTGTCCCATGCCTCCCCAGCCCCATACAGAGGTTTTTATTTGCAGCTGATGACTAGCCTGCCCTCCTCTACAGCAGCCAGCTGTTCTCTCCTTTTAAAGTGACATGGGCCTTGGCCCCTGTTGCATCTATGTATGGAAAATTTATAAATTTGTTATAATTTTCTGGGTATAGAATCTAATTATTGGAGGTTTGCCATGAATTTGTGCCCTTCCCTCTGCTACAGCAGGGAAAATTTAATTTTGGGGAGTCAGGTAGCTGCCTTGCCCTCTGCCTACCCACTCACCTTCTTCCCCATGCACCCTGCCCTTCTCCCTCCCCCCACCCCTTACTGTCAGACCCTGCTTTTCCTGAGCACATAGAAGTGAAGGACAAATCTGAAAACATGTTAGACTCGGTTCATCCAGAATTTGTGTGTTTTACCTTTTGGGGGGGGTTGTTTTTTTTTAATGTTGCAGGTTTTAGCACAGGTATTCCATAAGCACTTTTAAGCAGCACTTTTATACTTAATTATGCATTAGATTAGTCCAAAGCAAGAAGGTGCATGATTTACTATATAGTTCACTGGGCTGTGCCCCAGCAGAGTAGACAGTATTTCAGACCATGGTGACCCCACAGCTTAGCACTGCTCAGTATGTATACTCCAGCTACCACTCCCCCCACAAATGATCCATGTGCTAATTAGTACCCCCACTCATGACTGGAATGAGGTGTTCTTGTTATGAGTCTTCGTATCCTCCAAAATCAAGTCAGCTCCACACGCAAGGTGATGTGCACTGCACTGTGTCACATGCAATTATATAAGCGGTGAAATGCACGTCTGCACGCAGAAAATGGCAGCAGTGCGCTTTTGAACTAAAACACCTTCAGTGTGTTTTACTTCAAAGTGCACTGCCGCCATTACCTCGGTGATGATGCGCGTTTCACCGTTTATACAAGTGCATGTGCTGCAGTGACGGTTGCTTTTGTATGCATGCCTGCATGCATACAAATGCCCCAGGTGAGCAGATGGGGATGGGGTAAGTATGGAACTGATGATGTATGGACAGGTTAAAGCAGATGAAGCAGAAGATCAGACAGTAGAGTCGTAACTGGTAAGATTTGCACCCTGGGCACAAATCCCAGTGCCTGCCTTCCCCTTGCCTCTCCCCCCTTCTGCCCTGCCTCATTGAAACCCAGCATACCAGGACATCACAACACTGAATTTGGCAGCACTTCCTCCCTCAGCGGTGCTGCCATGACTTCTGTCACTGATTGCCCTTTAACTCAATGCCCAGGACTCACAAAACTTGTTGCCCACTGCTAGTTTTGCTCCTGGCAGACAGTAGACAGAAGACAAGAGTTTGTGGTTTCTAGAACACACTGCCCAAAACCCACTGGCAAAACATCCCATATCTTTCTAGCGCTTGCTTATATAGAAGAGAATAAATCTATTGCTGCTATCAGTTAATAACTTAGCTCAGAATTTTGTGTGGTGCATCCAGTCTTAACGAGGAGACTATGTCATATAATGGAATTTCTGGGTTTTTTCTGTTTTATTTTTTTTAAACTGGTTTCAGAGCCAGGCAATTTAATTTAGGAAATACTGATACTGTCAATGAAGTTTCAGTTTTCTGCCCTTCTGCATATATGTTGAGTATTTTTTTCCATGATAATCATCCTTCAATATACTTGATGTTAAGAGACTGGAAAAATGTATTACCTAAATACTTGATGACCTATGTGAAACATTCTTCGCCAGCTTCTGACTAATTTATAAAAAGGAATCCTACTTGCTACCATGGCTACAGTCCCTAGCATCATTGCAGTTAAGAGGTCTGTCACTGGCAATCAATCCTATTTGTGGATATTCATTGCCATTATAATATTGCTTTGGAGAGTGAACTGGCTTTAGTTTTAAAATGTACAAATCTGGAATCATCTGCAGCATTTTAAAAATGTAATGTGACAAGTTGTACATTTCCATTCCCAATATATATCCATCCCTCCAATGAATGCTTTTAACAGCTGTGGAAAATGAAATACAAAATGAAGAGAAAATTGCAATGTAGATTAATATGATAGGTACATTTTGTGCACCACATCTTTGTGGGTCTTTGCTGCTTTGACCTATTGCTACATTAAACAACAAGGAGTAGTAAGGGAACTGAACCTCAACATTACAGTGAAAGTAATAATAATGGTTTAAATTAGGGTAAGAAAAGTCAGGGTTGACTCTTTATTTCATCTTGAACTGATTCCAGTGTCCTGAAACAAAACAAACATAGATACAGCAAATATAAGTATTGCATCTGAAAGGATGGGTGCACATCGCTGGCACTTCACAAGTAAATGCTTCTATCTAATATTGATAGATGCTGTAAAGAGTGTTCCTGTGAAGTTATTAGTCAAATTCCTGATAGAAAATAGAATCAGGCTGGACTGTATAAGGCACTGTTATGAATAAGCATTTCAACCTAACAGCTTAACATGAATTCTAATATTGCACTACACTTTTAAGATGAAGGTTCCAGGAACAAATATCTGCCTCTAACTTATGTGACATAGGCCAAACTTCTTCACCTTTGTGTCTCAGTATAATACCTGTACGTACTTTTAAAATTCTGATATGAAAAAGGTGATTTGAAGTGCAGTTATTAGAATATAATATGTTTTATGACATTAATGAAATAAAATTGACATCCTATGAAACACATGGAAGTAATATTTATCTGTGGAGGTTAATAGAATATTTGCACCTTTCCAGACAACTGAATTCAGAATACCTAGCTTATTAAAACAGCAAATTCTCCAAATTGGTAGTATAAATCAAATTGCAGTCATATTATAGTAAATTGCATTTTTCTTGGCCATAAAAGACTTGAGCCACTGTTTAGCCCAGCATTATGTATCATAAGTATTAAATGCATTTTCTGAACTAGGAAAGGATTTTTGGGGTGATCTCTCTTATTGGATCAACTGAATGGTTGGGATAAAGTTAAACAAGCTTTGTGCTTTTAAAATAAATCTTTTATTTTATTTTAGATGGATCACAGATACAATGAATTCAAGCTCCAGGCAATTATGTCTGAGCATAAGAAGACAATCACAGCTATATCTTGGTGTCCCCATAACCCTGATGTATTTGCAAGTGCCAGTGCAGATAACCTAGTGATCATTTGGAATGTAGCTGAACAAAAAGCTGTTGCAAAACTGGACAATACAAAAGGTATTTTATATAGTTTATTTGGCATAACTTTTTCTCTTACCATTTTAGAGTTTGTAGCCTTGTGAGTATTTCTAAAGTCAGTGATTCTCAACCAGGGTGTTGCAGTACTCTAGGGTGCCTTGAGATCTATTCAAGGGTGCCTCTTAGTGCCATGCAATCTTAGTATCATTAGGTGCGCAAACATGAATCACAGGATAAACCTAGAGATTTCAAATCAGAATGCATAGTGTTAAAACCATGCTGACGTGTTGTGGTCTTTTTGAGTTCCTTTCAACAGATCAAGTTCCTTGCTCTATTTTTCTCTTGGCCAAAAAAA